TTTGTCCCGTGCGTTTATGTCGTTTTTTTTTTTAAACAAAGAGCTTAGCAATATTGTATACATATTCATTTCTGAATTTAGAGATGGTGTTAGTATATTGCCGTAAAAATTATTTAATCTAACTAATTTAGTGCCCTGTGTTGGCGTGGGTTTCCTCCGGCTGCTCCGGTTTCCCTCACAGTCTGAAGACATGCGCTATAGGTGAATTGAATAAGCTAAATTGGCTGTAGTGTATGTGTGTGAATGAGTGTGTATGGGTGTTGCCTAGTACTGGGTTGCAGATGGAAGGGTATCTACTGCGTAAAACATGTGCTGGAGGAGTCGGCGGTTCATTCCGCTGTGGTGGCCCCTTATAAATAAAGATGAAAATGAATGAAGGATGAATTTTACAGTGGATAGGCTTCACTGTGACTATAACAGGCCAGTGAATAATATTCAGTCTTCTGTACTGTAAGTTTTATGAGCGAGAGGGGTCTGGATGCAGACCTGGTGCAGTTGCATGGTAAGCTGCATGCAATGCCTAATCCTGCCCCTCACAGTGATGTCACTAGCTCCATTAAGTGCATTGTGTGCGACATTGCAGGTCTGAAATATGCAGTATCAGCTTGCAAATCCAAGTCTGCATCTGGGTAATATTTGCATGAGCGGGGAATTGACCACCAGTGACCACCAGTGTCGCTATTATCAAGGCTTTCTGTATTCTGCAAATGCCTCTTTAATTTTTTTGTCGTTGTTTACTAGAAACATGATGCTTCTGATAATTATCAAGTATGGCCTCCTACTTACATACTGTTGAAAAGAAAACTAAAAGGTTGTTAACTGATTGCCAGCATTAAATAAATGATATAAAAAAGCCACTCAAGAATACACTAGACCAGTGTTTCTCAACCATGTTCCTGGAGGGCACCAGCACTGCATGATTTGGATGTCTCCTTTTTTGTCACTCCCATCACAGGTCTTTCAGTCTCTGCTAATGAGCTGGTGATCTGAATCAGATGTGTCTGGTGAAGGAGACACAATCTGCATCCCAAATCGCATACTTGTGCACTATTCTATGCCATTTTGTAGTATAAATACTGTAAGTAGTGCGTTCACACTGAAAACTCTCAAAATAATAAGTGCACTTTAATTACCCGGATGATGCACTCATTCAGCCGGTAAAATGAAGTGTGTAATGATGGACACTTCACGCACTCAACGACCGCAGGTTTGCTTACTTAGCGGAAGGGGCGGAGCTATCGGGCGCACATGTTGGATAACTTTATTTATTTTGGATGGTGAAAGCAAAATTCTCCTGCGAGAGTGATTAAAGCGCCTCCCGTTGGTGAATGCGATTGTACTCACGGCAGTTATTATTTGATAGTTTGCTCATTTATTTTGCTGATTTGGCAACCGTCAAACTACATCAGGAAAACGGTTTGAATTTCCGCTTAGTAAAGAAACATTAGTGTGCCATTTGGGACGCCACTACATATATATACTATCCTGTTGAGTGTGTAAGTGCATAAGTACATAGTGCATAGTGTATAGTGTGCCATTTGGGACGCAGCTACAGAAACTGATCAGAGTTGGAGGTCCTCCAGGAATGTGGTTGAGAAACACTGCTGTAGATCTTAATAAGTCTTACCTTATTTAGCATGAGAATCTGCACAGCTTCTAGAAGGTGGATATTATTAGATGATGCAATGTGGAAAAAAGGCAGAAGTGTGTCAAAATAATACAGGGCCTATATAAGTGCATGCATTACTCAATAGTAAAATGAGTCATTACTGTAGATGTTTTCTTTTTTATTCATACAAGCTCAGGTTCATTCAAATATTAAAAGCTTTAGATTTTAATAATGCACTGATGTGTTTGTCAAAATTACCATAGACTGAGATTAATAACCATTTTGGATGCATTTTTCATTGCTTGTCTGTGCCTAACACAAATTGTTAACAGAGAAATCGAGGAATCCATGGGTAGTTTCCACGCTTTTACTATAAATCCTTCAAAAAGACTCAAAGGAGCTTTAAAGTACAACAAAAGTCGAGTTGTGCACTGTACAAATCAAGCCATAAGTTAAAAGCTCTAGTCCCTTTGAGTTATAATTGCATGGAACCAAGTTCCAGCACAGATATGAAAGTTATAAGTGTGAATAAGTGACGACAGATTACTTTATAGGACGTTTACTCTCACATTACGCACACTGATGGAGCTCCATTGCTTTAGCAGACTCTTCCACACAGGTTTCCCTTTGGGAGTTTTGCACTTTGTGGTTTCGGTTTCATGCTATTGCGCTCAGTCATGAAACAAAACACACACCGGGGGCCAAATGGATGCGCCAGACGCTCGAATAAACATGCCACTGCAAACTTCCTTGTGTGTTTGAATGCATGTTACCACAAGCCATCTTTCACCAGTATCGAAACAACATACTCAAGTAAAAGTACCATTACTTACCCAAAAATGAAGTGCGAGTAAATGTATCTGTTGTAACTATTACTCAAAGAGTGAAAAGTAGATCTTATAAAAGTACTCGAGTAGTGAGTGTTACACTGTGAAATGCTGATATGTTTACATGCAATTTGTGCATGTGTGTGTAAAAACGTAGCATTATGTAGTGCATTTAGTTTCTGTTTAGGCCATCAGGCGATTTAAGTCATCATGCAGTAGGCTGTAAACAATGTCGGAGTACAATGGAATTGAAGATCAAATTCCAGTTTATTAGGAGAATCATCAAGCAGGAAAAAGGTCAAAACAGAGACAGACAGGAGTACAAGCGAATGGTCAGGACAGGTGGCAAACAACATAAAGAAACAAACAAGAAAGGCAAGGCAAGGAATCACTTCATAATGCTCACAGTATAACAAGACTCAGCAATGAGTGTGTGTGTGTGTGAATGAGGTGTCTTTATAGTTCTAATAATCAGTCCATCATGAGCTTCCAGCTAGAGGGAATCAGAAACTGGTGTGTGAGTGCAAAAACTTCTGGGAGTAGTAGTTCATTAAAGTGGTGAACTGCTGATGTGTAGTTGTCCAGCAATCTGCAAATGTTTGTTTCTTTTTTCATTATTGACTTGCTGTTTAACAGTTTCTTGTCAATTTTTTCTTCTGTGTCATGAGATTGTTCTGTATGATGCGATTTGATTGGATGGAAAACACAGGACTGATTATTCTAGTTTAGCGCATAGACAAGAAAAAAGATGGTTGAAGGAAAATAGTAGAGTAAAAGTACCTAAAAATGTATTCAAGTGAAATTAAAAGTACACATTTTAAAATACTTAGTAAGGTACAATTCAAGTCTGCATGAACTGGAAGCTGGAACTGTTTTTATTTCGTTTTGTGACGCAGTTATTTAAGAAATAGAATATGAAATGAGCTAACAGTGGGCGTGGCTTGTTTTTTTCTACTGCAAGCTGATTGGATATAGTAAAGTAGGCATTTCATTTACAAAGATTGGTAAAAGGGTTTGGGGAGATTTCTCACAACCTTACAGACTCCTCCTCCTCACCATTTCTATTTGTTGTCAAAATTGGCAGCTGGAGGGGCGTGGTTAAATATGTTAGCCCCGCCTAATTCCATCAGACAGACGTAATCTGAGAATTTACCCTAAAGTGCAAACTATTTTTTTTAATTTATGACAGACGTGAATTATTCACCACAACACTAGCAAACAAAATCAACATGCTTAGTTTTGATTTCATATATACATTAAGAAAACCTGCTCCATTACAGTAATGTGTTATTTCACATCAACTACTAACTACAGTAGTCAACATTTCAAGTGAATCATGTGCTTTCATTAAAGTTGTCCTAACACTATTGAACAACACCAATTCTTGTCGTAGGACAGTTTTAATTTATTTTTTATTTTTAATTCACTTCGAATGTTGACTACTGTATATGCCCTTTCGCCATGCAGATGTGCAGTAGAAACACCACTTTTTAAAATAAATGTTTTTGTCATGCAATATCAACAAAGAAGGTGCATCCTAAATCGCATACTTATGCACTATTCTGGGCCATTTTGTAGTATAAATAGTAAGTAGAGCATTCACACTGAAATAAGTGCACTTTAAATACCTGGATTCAGCTCTTCACACACTCAACGGCCGCAGTTTTGTTTAAGTAGTGGAAGGAAGGCGGAGATGTTTCATTACTTTATTTATTTTGGATTGTGAAAGGAAAATTCTCCTACCACAGTGATTATGCCGCCTTCTGATGGTGGATGCGGTTATACTGCTGCCAGGTATTATTTGGTAGTTTGGTCATTTATTTCACTAATTCGGCAACTCTCAGGCATCATCTGGGGAACAATTTCTGGTTAGTAAAACACATTTTGGATGACACTACATTCATATACTATGCTGTTAAGTGTGTAGGTGCAAGTAGCCGGCAGCTAGATCTCTACAACTCTCACATGATTGCCCACTGAAGCTAAGCAGGGCTGCGCCTGGTCAGTACCTGGATGGGAGACCACATGGAAAAGCTAGGTTGCTGCCGGAAGTGGTGTTAGTGAGGCCAGCAGGGGGCGCCCAACCTATGTGGGTCCTAATGCCCCAGTATAGTGACGGGGACACTATACTGCTCAGCATGATCTCAGGTCCTGACTCTCTGTGGTCGTTAATAGTTCCAGGATGTCCTTTGAAAAAGAGTAAGGGTTTCACCCCAGCATCCTGGCCAAATTTTCCCACTGGACTCTGTCCATCATGGCTTCCTAACCATCCCCATAATCATAATTGGCTTCATCACTCTGTCTCCTCTTCACTTATTAGCTGGTGGTTCTAGCAAAAAATGGTGGATGCTGCACACTGGTGGTGGATGAGGAGATTCCCCCCAATGTGTAAAGTGCTTTGAGTGTCCAGAAAAGCGCTATATAAATGTAAGGGGGAAAAGTACAGTACATAGTGCATAGTGTGCCATTTGGGACGCAGCTTGAGATTCATGAGAATTCAATCATGTCTCTAGTTCATTAAAATCATTTCATTTGCTCAAAGCGTCTCTCTTGTTTCTCCACAGATCTTACAGGTGAATCTAGTGATGTCCATCTTGCTGTACGTGATGTTCCTCGCGTACCTTTATGGTATCTCCGCCTCTACAATGGACAAGCAGCGGCCCATGCAGGATCCCATCAGTGCGCTCATCATAAAGCTCCTGCAGGCTGATATCAGCCGCCAGAAACAGGGCGACGTCATTCCCTCCTCCACCTTAAATGTGTCCACAGTCGCAGACTACAAGGAAAAAGACAACAATACCCCCATGGTGGACAGTTCGGAGGAGCTGCTACGCCAGTACAAGCGCTACAACTCTCCACGTGTCCTCTTAAGCGACCGACCTCCAATGCAACCACCGGCTTTCTACCTCATGGATAAATTCATCAGCGGTCAGGACTCCAACAAGACGCGGCAGAAACGCTTTGCCGAGCACAAGAGCTACAGAGGAGAGTTTTCAGTGTGCGACAGCGAGAGCAATTGGGTTACAAACAGGACCTCAGCGGTGGATTCTCGTGGAAATCATGTCACCGTTTTGAATTCCTTCACTGTAAAACAGAAATACACGCAGTACTTTTATGAGACCAAGTGTAAAACTCCTCACTCCCACCGCAAGAGCCGATGTTTAGGTATTGATGAGAAGCACTGGAATTCGCAGTGCAAAACCACGCAGACTTACGTACGAGCGCTTACTCAGCACAAATCGCTGGTTTCTTGGAATTGGATACGGATAGACACGGCATGCGTCTGCGCGCTCTCAAAGAAACATAGAAGGACGTGAAAAATGGTGGAAAAAACACTTTCAATTCTCCATTGTCTTGCTAGTGTTTCCTGGGGGCTGTACATATATAAATTATTATTTAAGTTATATAGAATGCATATAGTTTATACATGTCTATGTATAATGTATAAAGATACTTGTTATTTATTTAAAAGTTATAAAATCTTTGGAAAAAAAATGAAAGACAGACTTATGAGAACATGCATTGCCGCTAAGCTAACAGGAGCATTGAATGCTGAATTGTGCCTTGCTCGCGTATCAGAGTCAGAGGACACTCCACTAGACCTGGACCTTGGGAACAGTTGCAATGGAAAAACACACAGATCGCTCAATATCATGTTAACTTCAGTATTGTTCACGAAAACCAGTTTTTCTACTGAAACGGGCTGCCAGTATATCCTCTTCGTGTCTGGGAAAACAAATCACAGTCGGGATGTTGTATGAAAAATATGTAAGCATACAGTATGTGTATTGAAACTGCATGAAATACCTAAGAAATCTATATATTTTTATAAACAAACTCGTATTGTAGGTCATGAAAACGTGATGGTAGTTATTTAAGGCTTGTGAGACTGATGGACGTCAATTAAAGCTTGTTACTATCCTGTCAGGACCAAAAAGTAATAACAAAAATACTACACTATTCCATAAATTAGTGTTTTAATTCAAGATGGCCTTCTAAAAAGTATTTAGGCGATCATTTTCAATGCATTCAAGACCAAAACAGCTGAGTATTTATTTGTTTTGGTCCGGTGATAAAACTACTGCTCACCATCTTAGTAGCCCTTAAAGCTCCTCCCACTAGCCACACCCTTCAAACAAGCCCCACCCACACATATCAGAAACAAGCAGAACAACCACAGAAATAATCTCACTATCCTGCCTGAACCAGTGTCGTCAACCAGCCAATTTGTTGTTTTGGGCTTCTGGGACAATATATGATGTCATTTATTTACATTTGAGCAAAAAAGGCTTTAGCTATTTCCCACGAAAGCAGTTAGCAACACTGGGAAGAACATACAGACCAAAAGTGATATCAAATTTGGTTTAATATTCAACAAATTCAAGCTTCAACGCTTCCCATTCACTTTCAATGGGTGACGTCAGGAATTGCCGAACTGCATTGTGGATCCATCGGCGCTGCTTCAGTGGTGTTGCTTGCTGCAGAAGTTGGGACTTTCTCAACTTTTCAAGCGCAGACAGAAGCGTCAGCCAATCAGATCGCTGTATGCAAATACACCAGCTCAGAAAATAGCCGATTGCTGATTGATTTCATTGGCTGACGCTGCTATGACGATCGCGCCAGCCCCAACTTTAGACACGCCCTCTGTCAAGCATTGACGCTAAAGCCCCGTGTGAATGGGGCGTTAGGCCCCTCCACTAGCCACGCACTTTCAGATACTCCGCCTCTAGTCTGCCAGGATCTGGAATATTAATCACAATCCCAGCAGATTATGTATACCAAATATTGTTTAGTACTCCAAAGATTCATTATGACCTGTATTTATATTATTGAATATTCTGGAAACATCTATCCTATCATTTCTGAAATCATACTCAATTGCTGAGGTAGTAGCTACAAGATACTAAAAAAAGCATTGACTCCTCCCTCTAGACACACCCCTTTTTGAAGCCACACCCACACCCCCAGTTTGGAATACTAATCACAATGTCTACAGAACATATGGACCAGCAATAATAAATATCCTTTAGTAAACAGTAGTAAAAGTGGTATTTTAATTCTAGATGGCCTCCTCGAAGTATTTAGACAATTATTTCTGAAAACACACATAGAGATTCATCACTGTGCAGCTTAGTAGCTCTAAAAATGAGAATAGACCCCTCCCAATAGACACACCTCTCTCATAAGCCCCACCCACACTTTTCAAAACCAAATCTGGAATACTAATCACAATCCCAGCAGAACATACGGACCAGTGACATCAAATATCCTTTAGTACAGAAGTGCCCAAACTTGATCCTGGAGGGCCGGTGTCCTGCATATTTTAGTTCCAACCACAATTAAACTATCAAGCTTGTTCTAGGTATACTAAAACTTCCAGGCAAGTGTGTTAAAGGAAGTTGGAGCCAAACTATGCAGCACACTGGTGTTCTAGGACCGTTTGAACACCCCTGCTTTAGTATATCATAGTAAAAGTTGTATTTTAATTCTAGATGACCTTCTTAAAGTATTTTGACTATCATTCCTGAAAACAAATGCTGATATTGTGGAGATTCATTGATGCATTGTAGCTTTTAAAATGAGCACAGACCCCTCCCACTAGACACACCCCTCCCATAAACCCCACCCACACTTTCCAGAACCCAATCTGGTATACTAATTAAAATCCTAGCAGAAAATATGGACCAGCGATATCAAATATCCTTTAGTATATAGTACTAAATGTGGTATTTTAATTCTCGATGGCCTTCTTAAAGTGTTAAGACTATCATTTAAAAAAAAAAAAACACAGCAATTCATCACTGAGCAGCTTAGTAGCGTAAAAATGAGCATTGACTCCTCCCACTAGACACACCCCCTCCCATAAGCCTCGCCCACCAACACTTTCAAGCACGGTCCCCAAAATTAAGCTCGCTGCATTGTTAACCTCTTTCAAGCCTCCGCTTCAACTGTACCACCATAAAGTGCAGCATGTAAACAAAAGGACACCGAAATGGGCCATTGCTAATGACACTGTAGTCTTACCCAGAGGTAAAGCTGCCTTAAGACGATGTACATACGTGCAGAGCTGGGATTTGAACACGTAATCTCCCCCTTAAGAGGGTTTCCCTCTTGTCAGACTCATCTTAGGAGATAAGCATTCGCCGGTGCACTATAAAAAGGCCTGCTGTACATTTATATAAGGAGACGTGCTCAGATGTTAATAATGAGGACTGAGCTGAAGACACTTTAGTGTTAGTCTGAGCACATGCATGCATTTATATCACAGTATGTATTTGATGTACATCTAGTGTATGGTAACAAAGCATACCGGAGCATTTTAAAACAGCAGGCAGCTGTGGCTCGGCTTTTCTTCAGGCTTATCTTTGTGACGCATGACTTCAGTCATCGGTGATTGGACGCCCCATCTACACTTAGTATTAAGATGCGTTTTCATCGATCTTGATCACAAGTGCATGATGTTTTGTTTTGGTTTAGTCAACCGATTCCGAAGGCAGTCGAAAATGCATTAGACTTTGCTTTTTATAGTGTAAATAATTGACCACCTACTCTTATGCTGCATCCCAATTCGCCTACTTGTACTACGTCCTAAAAGTGTGCACTTTTTTTGTGTGAAGAAAAGTACATACTTCTGTGTTTGTAACAGAAGAGTATGCGAGCATTGGGACATGTTACTTCCTTGTTAATGAACAGTTACATTGCTTAGCTACGAGCCTTGTCAAGCATCTCGACCACACATCCACATTTCTTTCATATATAATTTGGTACCATATTGTAGGTAATAATGCATAATTATGCATTAGTTAATGGGCAAACACATCTTTAAATATATATATTGTTGTTGCAGATTAAATATAGCATCATCTCATCTAATTTTCGGCCTCTTTCTGGGGCCGGGCCGCGTTGGCAGCAGTCTTAGGAGAGAAGCCCAGACTTGTCTCTCCCCAGAGACTTCCTCCAGCTCCTCTGGGGGGATCCCGAGCCGTTCCCAGGCCAGTCGAGAGACTTAGTCCCTGGGTGTTTCCCGAGGCCTCCTCCTTGGGAACACCTCCCTAGGTAGGCATCCAAAACAGATGCCTAGCCACCTCAGCAAACTTTTCTCGATGTGGAGGAGTGGCAGCTCTAATCTGAGCTTGGGTTTGGGGCTTAAATGCAAGTGCCTGGTGGCTGGGTTTTATCCCACAGAACCTGGCCGGGCTCAGCCCGAAGGAGTGATGTGGGACCATCCTCTTGATAGCCCAATGGGGAAGGAGGGGTCGGTGCATTGTGAAAAAGGTAGTGGTAAATATAAACATGAAAGGTAAATATATTCCGGTAGGTTAGATATTAATGGGCAGCATGGCAGTGCAGTGGGTAGCGCTGTCACCTCACATCTAGGAGGTCACTGGTTCGAGCGCCGCCTGGGTCAATTGGCATTTCCGTGTGGAGTTTGAATGTTCTCCCTGTGTTGGCGTGGGTTTCCTCCGGGTGCTCCGGTTTCCCCCACAAGTCCAAAGACATGCACTATAGGTGAATTGGGCAAGCTAAATTGTCCCTAGTGTATGTCCTGGTTCTCCAGGTTGGTGGTTGAGCGTTGGTGTAACGACCCACCTCGTAAAAATTAGATGTTGCGAAACACCAAAATAGTGCGGCTAAATATCAACTCCGATAAAACGACCCTGGAAGTAAGTAAAGTTAGCTATTAAGAATCGCTCAAACATACTCACCAAAGCCTCTCCACTTAACAGTTGGTCTCCGCCATGTTTGTAGTTTATTAACACTTTTTAACCATGTTTGCTCAGTATATTCTGGCCAATATTAGCAGTTAGACTACACACAAATCTACTCTTCAAATTCTCATCGAAATAGTAGACCATCGAGGTAAACTAATTTTTGCATACTATAATTTGGGACACTCTAATTCTATTTTCAAATACTGTTTTGGACTTATGCTGTTCACACCAGACGCAGAACGCGCGGATAAATTGCGCTATTCGCGCGTAAATAGTCGCGTGAACATTTGAGGTTACTCGCTTCATTCGCGCGTCAAACCCCGCTTCGTTCGCGCGTCAAACCCTGCTTCCTTTGCGTGTCAAATTCACTTCAGAACAGACGCGGATTCCCGTGATGGGCAGGACTTCTGTCTGCCCCGTGACTCTAGCTTCATAGCTAAAGGGTTAACATGGATTTTATGAAGAAAATAACAGTGTTTATGTGCTTTATGAAGGATGATAAACAGCGTCGATACGTTTAGAGCCGTGTCTGAGTCCACAACATCCTTTCAGAGGTGCAACCAGCTCTTTAAGCTCATAGACTCCTCCAGAAACTGAACCTGGCTGATGGAGGTTTTCAGCGGTGCTTCTGATTGAGCCCAGCCCAGTTTGATGAACTTCTTGTCGGTGTCTGCTGGGGGATTTCCCCTAGGACACCGACAACAGGCGATAAGTCACAATCACGCCCCCACAAGAGCAAGCTCCAGATTGGTTAACGCGGCTCGAATGTCCGCTAAAGTTCAG